CAGCTCAGCCACCTCAGCCACAACCACCTCAGCCATATGTTCCATCCATGCCATGCTTTGAAGATTTTATTCAGTGCTCTGGTCCACAATCATCCACTCAACAAAGCAGGGATTATGGTAGTGACTGGTGATTCCATTTAGTGTTGGTCAAGAACTCTTTCATTCCATGGACTATTGTTTTTTTTGGTGTGTTGTTCAGTAAACAATTCATTTCTTCTATGGTGATGTTAATTGTTATGACAATGTAGTTGTGGTATCACTATTGTGTATTTTGTTTGGAATGCTATTGACAATATTGTTTTGAATGTTATTAGCAGTATTGTTGGGTTTTGAATGTTTGGTTTTGAATGTTTGGTTGAATGTTATTGGCTGTATTGTTGTGTACTTCCATGGACTATTTTTTTGGTTTTGGATGTTTGGTTTTGAATGTTTGGCAGTAATGTTTGATTTTTATAGTGTGTTCAAATATTTTTTTTTGGCTAGTCATAGTAGTAATGGTAATGACCATTTGGAGATAGATGCGATGAGAGTGGAGAAGCATTGACAGTAAAAATTTCATTCAGGAACAACAAATGATTACCGTTACTTAAACCCTTTAATAACAACAAATTTCATTGACAGTAAAAATTTCATTCAGGAACAACAAATTTCATTCCATTCATAACAAAGGCACATTGTACAAATTATTACATTAGTTAAACCATTTAATTACTTGAGCACAATAATAGCAATAAGAACAGCAATAACCAAACAAAGCAATCCATTGCTAAATATTTTCTCAAAAACTTCTCGATCTTTGATTGAATCTCCTTCAACATTGTTGCAATTTCCCCATTTCATTTGTTAGCTTGCCCCGGTTGACTCAACCTCATCACCATCATCTTCAAAGAAAACATCATCTTCGTATACTTCATTTGACTTCACATAATTCACTGAGGTAGGTATAAGCCAAGCAAAGAAACGACGCTTGTTGTACGGACAATTGCAAAATAGCTTGCCAACGGTTTCTTTCGTAGGGCCAACAACTTTAATGAGAGCAAATGTGTTGCAATAACACTTAGGATGCTTATACCTAAGATCCAAACTCTCATTCTTTGACATCTTTGATTTTTGGAAGACATCTTCTACATGGAAAAGATAAAAAAATGGGACAGGAACCCTATGTGTTGCAACCAAACAAAAAATCTATCAACCAAAATCTACCTGAAGAATAGGCTAAGAATTATTTTGAGGTTTGAATAGAATCAGCCTAATATAAAAAAATGCACAAAATCTGCCTAATCTCAACAAATTGAAACCCTGAATTCGAAAATGCACAAAATACTAAAACCCTAATTTCAAAATCTGTCTCGACAAATAACAAACCATAATTTCAAAAATCAAATATTTCAGACCAATTTCATCTCTAATCTAACCAATATCAGATCTACCAAACAAATAACAACCAATTAGCAAAATCCCTATCGAAATTCAATGAAAGTTTGGAAAAATTACCTTATATTTCTTCAAGAAAAAATGCGTGCGTAATTATATTTGGATTGCGAAAGCTTACCTCAAATCGATTTGAATTCCGGCGATTTGAAGAACCCTCACAGCCTTGCGATTTGAAGAAAAAGAATTGGAAGAACTTGGATTGTCTGCGATTAAGAACCCTCAGCCCAGGAAAGATGAGTTCAATTTAATTCAGGTATTAAGGGGCAAAATAGTCATTTCCCTGAGTTTATGGCGAAAAAATGGAGAAAAAATCGCACCACACGCGTGTGAAATGCACATCCGTCAAGTTAGACGGTTTAGGGGATAACGCGCAATCAAAAGTATAATACAAAGGGGTATGTGGCAATTTTTAAAATACAGGGAGATGACGCACAGATTTCGTATAATACAGGGGGTTTGACGCAATTTACCCCCAAATTAATACACACAATAAATTATGCGTTATTGATTGAGAAAAGACTCGACTATTTAACCTACAAAGCTACAGATTTTGTCCAACTTGCCAAGATACTACCATTACTCAATACTAAATAGTAAATACATATATTTTTTTTAAAAAAAAAAAAAGAAAAAAAAATGTCTCTAGTGAGCGAGGAGATTCGGGCCAGGGCCTCAGAAATGTACAGCGGGGACGAGATGTGCCAGGCCAAGTCCAAATTTCTGCTGACCGAAATGGGCCTGCCCAATGGGCTTCTCCCGCTCGAGGACATGGAGGAGTGTGGGTACGTGAAGGACACGGGCTTTGTTTGGCTGAGGCAGAAAAAGAAGCGCGATCACAAGTTCCCAAAGGTCGGGAAGTACGTTCAGTACGGAAAAGAGGTCACTGCTTACGTGGAGCCCAACAGGATCAAGAACCTGACAGGTGTCAAGGCCAAGGAGCTTCTCGTCTGGCTTAATGTTAGCGAGATCTACGTGGACGACCCGCTCACCGGGAAAATCACTTTCCGAGCCCCGTCGGGGCTCAGCCGCACCTTTCCGGCAGCGGCCTTCCAGGTGGAGGAGGAGGCGGCAGCGGCGGCTGCCGGGAAAGAGGAGGGTCATTTGAAGGAAGTGTAATGTGTCTGTCAGTTTGTGTATGTGTGTATGTGTTTTTTAATTAATTAATTAAGTGGGGAAAAGTGGTTTAAGGTTGAAACTTGTTATATGTGTTGCACTTGTTGGTCAGTTGTAATTTTTCTTTTAGATGCTATTATTATAGATTCTATAGTCTATTATGGGACCATTCTGTTGGGTTTGTAACCGTTAAATCAATTAACGGTTATAAATCTTGATGGACTGATTCTGTAACGAGATTGTAGCATTTTCTATAATTATATAGTAAGTATTACTTATTTTCAGTTTTTTGTTGTGGAATAATGGGTACATAATTTCGCTTGAGAATAACTTACTTTTCTTTAATCTTAAAACAAAGTATTCAAGCTTCCAATTAACTTGTGTTGAGGGACATTATTAGAGGAGAGAGATAATTTTATATATACATCGTTTTTTTTAAACTCGCCCTGGGAATCGACCCGGGCATGTTTTTGGGTTACTGGGTCATTGGTTCAACCGTTGAGTCATCGGGTCAATTGTTGAACCGGATAATTAATTTTAATATTTTTAAAATTATGTATAAAGTATTTTGTCATATAAATATACATAAAAGTAACAAAGTTAAATATTTTGCGTATAAAATGTGTACATTAAAGTGTTAATAATATATATTTTATGATAATATTTATCATATAAATATATATACATAGTTTTATTTTTTTAAAAACAAAAAATATTATATATATATATATATATATATATATATATAGGATCCTGGTTGTTGTGTACATATTATTCTTTATACCGAGTACCGAATCAAAAGAGTCGTTTCCCGGGTCGATCTCACGAGGAAGGCGGTTCGGAATTCAGCTTTAGTATTGACAGCACATAAAAGCAAAATAAATCATAAACATGCTAATCAGATAAAGGGTTTGAATAACTATCTATTACGAAATAATAAAAAGCATGAATTTACCTAAAAAGATAAACAAAATAAAGATAAAGAAGCTAGGAAATCGGGGATAATTGCTTTCGGTTCTAACACAACTACCGACAATCAATTGCTCGGTTAAAGGACTTGAATCGTTTCTCGTCCAGAGGTTCACTCTCAATAACTCTTTGTAACAAGAGAGTGGACGTACACGATCAACTATCAATTCCAACAACACATAGACATTACTTTTACGAACAAGTCTACCCTAAACGAGCCTAAGTCGACAAACATCTCCCCTCTCGGTTCTACACGTTTATTGATTAGGTTAGAAAGGTGATCAATCTACTAACTCTAGATTAAGCACAACTCGAGTAGGCATGAGCAATCAAGAACAAGCAATCATTAATCGAACCTAATCAATCATCCCCTATCCCTAGCAAAAAAATGAGCTATGTAACATAAATTCAACACAATAAATCAATTCTCTCAATTCAATCATTATTCATGAATTAAACATAATAGAAAAGAAACTTACAATTAATCTCAAATCCAAGTGTTGAACATCAATTACAATCTTAATCCCAAAAGCAAGAACAATTCCTAGATGAAAAATGGAAAGTAAGGATTAATT